ACTTGGGAAGTATTTGATCCTGAGATCTTCATTATTGGCTATATCTCTCGCTTCGGTTAGATATCTCGCTATGTGTTCGACTGTTAACTCATTGGTATCCCCAGCGAACTTTGTAAATTTAGGGACTTTATATCCCCTTGGTAAATCAGTATGCATTATGCAATCCAATATAGGAGAAGCATAATTTGGCCTTCTCATTCCTGTGTTGAGGTCATTCTGGGCCATGACTCTCTCTATCATGGTGGTTAGATTGTTTTCTGCCAAGATGTTATCGTTTCAAATTCTATGAACGACAGCATCGACATCTTGATTTCGACCAACCAAGACAACTCCCCTAGGTTGTTCTTCTCGAAACTCTGGGGCTTCTAGCCTTTCGACCCTTGCCCCTGGTTCCATAATTTCTCTTTGTGGGCCTGGGATTATTGGGGCTTCTAACCTTGGTGCCCTGGCCCCTAAGTTAACTTCTTCTCTGGGTAGTCTATAAATTGGGTCGTTAGCAATTTGTTCTATAACAGGCATGTTTGCTCGAAATCCCGCCTGATTCTGCCTACGCCTTTCTGGGGGAGCAAAGAAATCTGCTATTCGACTCATGTTGTCAGCGTTTTCCCTGTTTGTCACAGTCACATTTTGCACTATTGAGGCAAATATCTCCTGCATGGTTTGTGCTAACACCCCTATCATATTATGGTTACTGTCATCCATCAATTGCCTAAAAGCCAACTGGTTTTCTGTGGTTAAAATAGGCATTGTGCTATAACCCACTGACCCTTGGTTATTTGTCATAAACTGATTCGCCCCAGACCCAGACCCTAATTGTGGGGATGAATTCGATGTGGAATTGTGTAAACCTGCCATAAAAGATGTTGGCATTCCATAAGAGGAATTTCTGGTTCTATTTCCATCGAAACCAGGTGGTCTAGTTAATGGAGTGGCGAAATGGGATTGTGTCCCTGATGGTGGAACGAATCCCCCAGGGTAACCAATGGTTCCAGTATTTCCTAAGATCGGACTATTAGTTGATATGCCACTTACTCCATTGGTGGCTATATTACTGGTTGAAGATGCAACAGACTGTGCATTCGAAGGGATCACATTAGATGTTCCGATCGAAGTGGACACATTAGTGCCTGTTGTATGTGGGGCATTTTGTTCCCCTTGTTGATTGTCAGAATTAGACATTTTGTCCAAACGTTTTCTTCTGGATAAAGGTTGGTTGCTGTTGGTTATTTTACCACTTCTCAGGTTCATAAAACAACAAACTTCTTAGGTTCCAACGTTTTTATAATGGTTATGTCTCAACAATCTTTATTTCTAATATCCAATTATTGGTCCCATCAGGTGTGCCAATTTGTTTCCAGTGATTTCTGGTAAACAACCGCTAGTCTTCCAAACTATCGAATAAACTTTCTGACTGTTATTCAATTCCTCTGGTAACTCACAGGATCGACTAGATTGATCCTAGGATTCCTTGGTCATTAGGGTAACTCTCATGATCGAACAGATATTCATGGTTGATATTTGAGTGTTGTATAGGTGTTTGGCTTATTTCGATTTCTCTCTTAAAGGTCTAAAGATGTAATCAAAATGTGCGTGTACGAAACTAAGTTGCATGAATAAATGTTAATTGTAAAGACATGTAAAATTGCATAAAAGGCAAGTAAATGGTTTCGAATTATAAAAACAGTTAATGTAAAGGATGTTCTGGAACGTAAAAGGTTTGAAATATGAAGAAAGCGTTTAATGCAAGAAATCTTTAAATGACTTTAAGTAAAAATAGGCGTTTGAAGGATAAAGCTTGAAGGTAAAGGCATGGAAAGTATGACAGTTTTCTGAAATGTAAAGTGCTTGAAATGTGAAGAAAGCATTGAAATGTAAAACTTTAATGAAGAGATTTCGAAGTGAAAAGACTGTAAATGAGAAAACTTATAAATGTTATTTGATAGAAAGATAAAGGAAAATGCTGGAAATGGTAAAAGGTTTTCATTAAATCATAAATATGTGGTGCTATCATACGTACATTGCTCTTGCATTCGTTTCTCTTGCCATGTGGTAGTTTGAATGTTACTGAGTATTTAATACAATAGATATGACACACGAAATCCTAATACTAAGACTTCTATTTATACTAATTCGACCATAACGGTCTTGCTATAGGATTATGTCACGTTCAGAACATGCAGAACAATGCCTCTTTCTTCTTTCCACGTGTCTCCAAATGCTCCAGCACATAAATTTCAAACTTCGAATGTCCCGCTTCCATTTGAATTTCAAATGCTTTGGTACTTCTCCGTTTCGAACGCACTTCCCAGACACAACCTTGTTGTTATTTCGAGACTTCTTTAGATATGTTCCCATAATTGCCACTCGAAGCTCCAAGCTTTGACATGCTTATTCGAAACACTGCTTCTGCTACTTCGAAACATGACGCTTTGCTACATTTCGATCGAAACGTTTAATTCACTTGGCTTCTAATAATATTATCAAAATCTTCAGCCAACAATAAGTTTCACAAAATGCTCTATGGCCTCAAGTAGGCACCTATGGCATGAAACAAGAAAATCGACTCATACTTAGTCAAATTAGGATTTGTCTAATGTAAATCAGAGTATGGTGTCTATTTTCAGGTTGTAGTATAAGATGTAACAATCTATGTTTGTATATCAATGACTTGCTGATAACTGGAAATAAATTGGAGAACTTGTCGAAGTTCAAAGAGCTAATAATGAGAGAATTTGAAATGTCGGATCTGGGAAAATTGTCTTATTTCCTAGACATGGAATTTCAAACGTCGAAGCAAGGTATGGTGATATATCAAAGGAAGTATGTCAAAGAGATACTCAAGAGATCCAGAATGGATGATTTGAATCATGCATTCCCACCTGTCGAACCAAATGTGAAGTTGGAGAAGAATGGAGAGGAAAACAAAGTCGATGTAACTTTGTTCAAGCAAATCGTGGGATCTCTGAGTTATGTGTGCAAAAGTCGATCTAATATAGGTTTCGTAGTCATATTAGTAAGAAGATTCATGGGTGAACTAAGAGTGTCACACATGAAGGCTGCAAGAAGAATTCTAAGATACTTAAAAGTATCGATAGACTATGAAATTCTATTTCGACGAGATTCTGAAGGAAAATAATCAACAATTACTTATTTTTCAGATGTTGATTGGTATAGAGATAAGGAAGATCGAAGAAGCACAACTAGATATTTCTTTCAAGTATTTGGTGCCCCAATATCAGGGTGTTCTAAAAAACAACCTGTAGTGGCTTTGTCATCGAGTGAAGCGGAATATATAGCAGTATCCTATGCAACATGTCAAGCAATTTGGATCAGATCGGTACTTGAAGAAATTGAGGTCGAAGTGAAGAAACCTCTTGTGTTGCAAATCGACAACTAGTCAGCCGTAAATCTGGCGAAGAATCCAGTTTTACAAGGAAGGAGTAAATACATTGAAGCTAGATTTCACTTCCTAAGGAAAAAGGTAAATCGAGATAAACTTGAATTTAGACATTGCTCACGTGAAACGTAGTTGGCTGACATATTCACCAAATGATTGAAGATCGACAAATTTCTGAAATTGAGAAAGAAATTAGGAATAATTCAGATCGATTATGATTAACATAGGTTCGACAACTTGGATTAAGGGTGTGTGCTGAAATATTAGATTAAATTTTATTAGATTTAATATTTCAACAGAGAGGAGATCGACACTTATGCCAGCAGATGTTTTAGTGTACGGGTGGATAGGAGGAAAACATGCTTGTGTGAACTTGAGGGGAGTTTCTCCACTAGTGGGTTTTAGGGATGGTGGTTTTATAGTGGGGCATCCAGCTCTCAAAGCTGCTTCTAGTAAAGTGGTCAAATATGAGAAAATTTATTATGCAAATCAACATATTTTTATGTTATTTGTTTTTGACACTTTTGATTTTCTAACATCAAAAATAGTTGATCTTTTAGAGAGGTCAACTATTTATAAATGACAATGTTGTATCTCCTAGATTTATGAATATAATTTTTAAAAAAATTGATTTTGCGATTCCAAAAGAATAATAGCACAAGATGTTATCCGTATTGACTTAATTATATATAAATATATTCTTAAAAAAAATTAATTTATACGACAAACAGTATGTATTCTTTCCCGTTATCAAATTGGTGACATATTCATCAAACAACTTCTATTTCAACTCTGACCATTTTTTGGGATTAATTACAACTTTTATTCTATCCATGACATTCCGAATTCAACACATAAAAGGTGTCCAGCTCAACATAAATTATCATCTTATCCAACCACGTAATTGATACGATTTCACGATTCTATACTCAAACAAACTAAGCATCAACCATTCACATTATATTTAGAATACAATTCCATTCCCTACTTTTACCTCAATCGAACCCTCAAATAACTTCCACATACACTTCTCTTTTTCCTCTTTATTATTATCAATAATGCCTACAGAATCAAATCACCATTTATTCCAATTCCTTTTTTCACCCATTGTTTTCATCAAATTAAACCAACGATATGTAATTAACCTCAAAGTATATTCCCAAGTTTCATCTTTTCTTCTATTCTATTTTATCTATTACCACATTAACAACAATCACTTTTCTTGCTCTAATAAAACTACAACATGTAGAGTGCAGATTCGCTGCGACATTTTATTTATTTTATTTTAAATGAGTGAATTTTACCACTATCCTAGAAAATAATAATAATAATAATAATAATAATAATAATAATAATAATAATAATTCCACCAAATTGCTACACAAGTTAATTAGTACACATAATTTTACTCAACCAAAAAAAACTATAAAAATAGGAATTTTAATAAATGCTAAAAATATTACTAACACTTTACACAGTGTACACTGCAGACGAATCAGAGAGAAAACAGATAGTAACATCATAACTCTTTTAGTTTTTTTTTTTTTCAAATCGATTTTCATTTTTAAGCGCTTTTTTTTTTTTCGATTTCAAAATCTAGACGCTACGAAGTTTTCCGAACAACAATGGCGGAAGAATCTTCTCTCAGAAACCTCATTTGCTTTGCGATGAACGCGTCAATAGCGCGTTGAAACTCTTCGTTACTCAGCTTATCCTGCGGATACAAATTTTCTTTCACAGTTTCTCGAAGCTTCTCTGTTTCCGATCGCCGGAGCTGTTTCCGTCTCTGCATCTTTCCGGCTTCTCCTTTCCATTTCTCCGACTGACTCCGTCGGAAGTTAGCAAAATCGGAACCGGATCCACCTTCTTGATCTGGAACGAGTGGAGCCGGAACGGTTTCAGATATTACCTCCTTGTCCTGACACTTCACCTCCGTCGAGACAGTCGCAACAGCCGCAACTAACGGAGTTTCGACTTCCGGAGACGGAGGCTGGTGGTCGCGGCTATTCATAAACTCGCGGTAGAGTTTACCGGCACCAGCGTTGTCGTCGGTGTTTCCGCCGGAGAAACGGCCGGATTGTGCGAGGAGAGCGGCGATGATGGCGTTAGAGACGGCGAAGATGAAGAGAGGATTAGCGGCGAGTTTACGGAGAAAGTCGGCGGAGATGGAAACGGCGAGAGGGAGGCGCGTGAGAGTCCAGGAGAGAAGGAGAAGGAGGATGCAGAGTTCGAAAATGCGAATGGTTTTGGAAATGGCGGCGAAGTGAGTTCGAATCGCGTTTGGTTTAAGTGACTCCATTGGAAGAGAAGTTTGAAGAGTGTTTGGTGATTTAGGGTGGGGAGTTAAGTTAAGTAGTTAGAAGATGAAATGAGGATGAAAGGGAAATTGAAAGTGAAGTGAAAGAGTGAGAAGAGTTTTATACTACGTAAGATACTAATGTTTATGATGTGATGTATTGTTGCTGTGGGAGAGTCACCAGTTTCGCATATGTGAACTATTGTTGGCCTTTTATAGAGTTTTCTCCCACCTCTTTTCCTAACACTAATAATAACACAAGACATGCCCCCACTTTTTTTTTTAATATTTCTTTTCTTTTTATAATGGTTTTCCCTTTAATAAGTTGAACTTGGAAATGCCATGCTGAAATTTTGATTCAAAATTTAAATAAGGATTTTTACAAATTATATATGAATTTGTACTTCCCAAATTTTTTATCTTATTTGAAATATTTCTCTCTGTGTTATTTGAGATAATAAAGTCGGAAGTGTATGAAGGATCTTAACCAACAAAGAACGGGGTTTGGTCCGTCTGCCATGGTCGCGTTGGACCCCAAGTATCTCTTCTAGATAGAGATCATATATCTTGTTTTTAGAGTCGTGTCCATACAACTCGTTCGTGGATAATAGACTGGATGTTTGAGTTGGTAGCCCAACTTAACGGCTTAGAGGCAGTGTTAAAGGTCACATGGAGGTTACGAAATTTATGGAGGAGCTGTTACAGAACGTGACTGGCGACAATTACGATGACGACGAACGTTATCTCAAGCATGAGAGTCTGAGAGGCAATTCGTTATGACCCAAAGGGTTTAAGCATATGGTATATAAAGGCCCCCAAGAAAAATAAGAACGTATCCAAAAAACACACACACACACAGAGAGAGAGAGAGAGAGAGAGAGAGAGAGAGAGAGAGAGAGAGAGAGAGAGAGAGAGAGAGAGAGAGAGAGAGAGAGAGAGAGAGAGAGAGAGAGAGAGAGAGAGAGAGAGAGAGAGAGAGAGAGAGAGAGAGAGAGAGGGAGAGAGGTGAATCACATTGGACTTGTAAACAAACTAGTAAGTTATGTAACTAGATCACTTTTATCATGTGCCGTTGCACGATATTCAGCCTCACTAGAAGAGTGAGATATAGTGACTTGTTTCATAGTTTTTCATGAGATGGTTTAAGCATTATCTCACTTGTAGCATAAGATGACCACCTTGCATGTGGGTCAGATGCCCAATCTGAGTCACATAAGCACTACTATAAAATATATATTTCGTATCATATTCTTACTTCAGCCATTTAGCTCACCAAACTAATATCTCATCTTTAGGTGCCTTTATTTTTTGTGGGGATAGGTTAAGGGTTTGCACTCTTTGAGTCTCAGTACTAACAACTTTACATTTTTTCATTACAAAAAAGGTGTATTGTAACGGCCCAATTTTGACTAAATTATTTTAATTGATTTATTATGCCTTTTGAAGGTGCGAGAAATACAAGAAATTGAAAGTTTGAATTGTGTTGCACCAAATACAATCTTTTCACAACACAAACACAAAGCTAACAAGATAATAAAATAGACGAACACAATTATTTTTATCCTGGTTCACTGTTAACTAAGTTACAACAGTCCATCCCAAAAGGAGATTTGCCTTATCCACAAGGACTTAATCTACTATAATAAACCGATTATAGACAACCACAATAAATCTGATCAACCTTAATGACAATCCCAACAAGTTTGTCGATACTTATTGCAAATCCACTATGACCGTAACCAAAGTCTTCTTGAGAATCTAGACTCACCAGTCTTTTAAGGAACCTATAACAACCGTTGATTTACAAAGATGCTTTTAAAAAAGCAGATTACACAATATTTAAGTACAACAACACAAAAGTGTTGATAGCAAGATACGAACAAAAGTTCCTTTCTTATTTACAAAACTATACAAAGAATATCTCAAATGAGTTTGTGCAGCGCTTTAGCGTAGTTTTGTTGAACTGATTCATTGATTTCAAATTCTTCCAAATCCTCCTTTTATAGCTAAAAAAGAGATTTGTTGGAGGGTAGAATAGGAAACACAAAACCCGTTGTTTTGTTCCTAACTCTCATGGTGAGAATGGTAGATAACAAGTACAAAAAGGTTTTTCCTCACGCCACCCTATAAAGTAGACGTCACAGTGTATTTTTGTACTTTTATACTCACCATCACACGCAATACCTAGTCTTGATCTTTATCTTCTATATCTTCAGAGGCTTCTAATTTTTATGTTGATGAAGCATGTTGTAGAAGGATCAAAACTTGTATCTTCAGAACCTAAGTCTTTGAATCTTTCAGAGCTTGTTCAGAGAATCCTTGTGTTCAGAATCTTCAGCACTTGGTCTTTGGTACTTGGTCTTCTAAAGAATGTCTTCAGATCTTCAGAACTTGTTCAGCAAAATCTTGTCTTCAAGATCTTCAGAACTTGGAACAACAAAAGTAAAGCTTTAGAAGGCCTCCAAAGCTTCCTTGCAAAGTCACGACAAAAGCTCTTGTGCTAACCTTCCTTAGAAACATTGCATAAGAAGCATTCCAAAATCTTGACTTAACTTGTAACACACCAAAGGTATTCTTCTAGAGTGTCGAGTTCAGAACCAGATGATATCACATGCCTTCTTACCAGAGTAAGAACATGTTTAGGAAAAGATATACACTAGACATAAACCATTAGATTACATAATTATTCTCTAAAATACCATGTAAAGTTATCATCACAACTCAAGGCCAGATGTAGAACCAATCTTGTTCTTACACCTTTGTGTGAATTATTTAATTATCATGTTGTTATAATTAAATTAATATGAGTCTTAGGGTGTGAGTCCTTGAAGTGAGGGTATAGAGAGAGTTAGAAGTTGATAGAATTAATTTAGAATTAATTTTATAATTAAAATAAGAGTATTTTGATTAATTAAATTAATAAAATAAGAAAACAATAGAATTGAGTTTGGAATGAGCATTAGAAGAAATTGAGGGAGGAATGAGTAAGAGATGTGTAAGTGAGGAGAAGCAATTATCATTTTAGGAATTAGAGTAATTATCATAATTATAAAAGATTAAGAAATAACCTAATTTTGGGAGGAAAAATGTCAGAACGTAGAACGAGCCAAGAGGTAAGAGTTGACATTGGAAACTTAGATTTTTGGGAGAGGGAAGAACACCAATCAGTTCAGAATTCTATTGCTTCTAGGAGAACTAAGGTAAGGGGGAACTATTTCTTTAATAAGTATATGTATGAGGGGTAGAATGAGGTGTCATTATCCTCCAATAGGATTGTGGGTTTTCGATTGAATTCTATATTTCGATGATGATTTGGTGTTGTGTGATTATATTGATGATAAAATTTATGTACCATGATGTTGTACCCCAAAATTTTCCCTCTTATTTCTCAAGAATTTTCTCACGAGATCTCTATTGGTTCAAGACTGCACAAGGTTTGATCAGCTCAAGATACCTCCTCAAATACTTATGACTCAAAACTAGGGTTTGAGTTTGCACAAGTACATTTGAACTTTTAATGCCCCATATAGTTTCCATGGATCATATTGGAATCTCAAGCATCAGGTCGAAGATGGAACTTCTGAATCCTCGAAAGGAGGAAGAGGAAACTGTTGAAAGAGAAAAGCAGATAAAAAAAGGTGTATAGTTGCAGTTAATCATGTCGAATTTAAAATCTGGTTTAGGCTGTTTAAACCACATGACTGGTCGAAAGGAGTGGTTGGCAAATGTTGACAAGTCGAAGAAGAGAAAGATTGCTTCAATCCCCAAGCTTCGACTGGGAAATGGTTTCTTTTGAGCAACCTGCTTCGATCCACAAGATGCTAGTGGTAACAAAGTCGAAAGAAGAGTGATGACAAAATAACAAAAGAAAAATTATAAAGATTATCACAAGGCTAGAACTAACTTGTTGAATGTTATCTTTTATAATGAGTATGAAAAGATCACTAATAGAGATATTGCGAAATCTATTTTTGATTCTTTGAGAATGACTCACGAAGGAAATTCCCAAGTCAAAGAAATCAAAGCACTTGTCTTGATTAAGAAGTATGAGGCATTCAACATGGAAGATGATGAAACTGTTGAGAACATGTTCTCAAGGTTTCACATTCTTATCACATGACTGAAGGTTCAGAATAAAGGTTATTCTACTTCAGATCGCGTGAAGAAGACTTTAAGAAGGTTGCCAAAGAAACGGAGGCCTCTGGTAACTGCACTCAAACTTACCAAAGATTTGAACAACACTTCTCTTGAGGAACTGGTTAGTTCTTTGAGAAGCCACAAGATTAACCTTAATGAGGATGAACCTCAAATAAAAGGAAAACATGTATCTCTCAAATCAAGTGGTAGATCTGAGAAGAATAGAGCTCTTCAAGCTGAAGAGATTGAAGAAGAATTTGAAGAAGATTAAGTTGTAGATCTGAGAAGACTAGAGCTCTTTATCCTATTCATATTGGATCAGTGGGAGTTCACGTGTACACAATCATATAATCTAAAAAAAATAAATTATTATTCTCATATTGTCATATATTCTTGCACGCACTATAAATATGACATATTTTAAAAGAACTTCAAAAGTATACTCTAAGAAGTCTTATTCTATTATACAGAGATAAATATTATTCTCTTAATCTCAGGAAACATCATTTGATGTTTAGGTCGATATTAAAAAGGCAGAATAATTTTTTAGCATGCAATAATATTGTGTTATTCTATTATTCAACATCCACAATATTGAGGTCATAAATATTAAAGTACATATAAATATCAATACTCCTATCGAGTATAATATTGTGTTATGAAGGTACTTATAATTAAATGTAATTGCTTTCGTAATATGATATGTGTGATACGGTGGGAGAACTGACTTGAGGTTTTGTGTTTGTTTTCGCAAATGTTTCGGTTGAGCAAGAGTCGCCACCGACTTTTTATTTTATCCTAAGGAAAGGTTAAAAAGCACAGCAAAAACCTTTGAGATGTTTTCTTGGGTTCGGGGAGTAGATTAT